GTAAAAGCTGGCTTAAAAATGAGAGATGCTAGGAGATGATGACAAGCTTGGAACCATTTTAAATGAGAGATGCTTCTGATCTCTGCTACTTAAGATGAGTTTCTACTTGAACTTGAGCCCTCTTATGCAGCCTTTTGATTTTGAGTTCAATGTGTTATTATCTGGGTACATTATTTGTTGGGGGAACCACCAGCGTCTTTTTGTTCTTTCCTCTTGGGGAGGTGAGATTCCCCAGAGACTTTCAGTTTCTGGCCTGGGAGAGTAAAGGTCTGTCTGGCAGTTTCCTGGGCCCCAAATTGAGGATGAGAGCTGGCTGGAGGTGCAGGTGGGGGGCGGGGGAGGGAAGTTTTGTCTTCAACATTGCAGTACTGCATGTGGTCCCTGTGTTTTCCATGTAGTGCTCTGGCCCGCAGTTGTGCTTGTTGTCCCTCTGCCCAGAGACTTTGTTTTAATTTCTCAAGAAAATAAACCTGACACACTTGGGGAGAGCATTTTTGGAATGGAGATATAACTGATGGACAGATTCCATTCACCCTCTTGCTTCTGGGACTCCCCCTTCTGAGTTGGTGTTCAGTGTTCCCGTGGACAGCTGTGGATTCTTACAGGTCTGCTAACCTGTACAACTAGTTTCCATGTTTTGTTGCTGTCACTGCCTCTCCTTTCAGTCCTGATGAATTTGTGTTTAGAATTACCTCTTTACAATGGCTGGAGTGGAACTTTAGGTGAGAGTAGAACTGGATGCATGTTTTTTCCTCTGCCATCTGAGGCAAAGATGCTTCCATCAATACATCTACGTCACATCACAGTTCAAATAAAATGAATTTGAGTGCTATTAGGATTTATACTATTATTCATTTGCTTTCAAACTGTTACTTTGAGGATCTTTTCCACATGACGATTGCATTATTTGTCTCCCCTTTGCACCAGTTCTGCCGTGTGCTTACATTGTTTTATATGTTAGTATATGTTTATGTTATATATGTTAATATAATTATATGTTAGTATCTTTCCACTTCACCAACCTGTGATAGAGAAGCTCATATCTCCAGATCCCCCAAATGGTTTACAGTGCATTTACAAAAGAGATAATAAATAATGTCAGATAAAGTGAATAGCAACTACTACCCCCTCAAAGTGAAATCTTTAATTTTACTGGAATGTACAGTGAGATAGAAATTATCTTCACACGCGTCCTTTTTTCTGATTTTAAAGTGTAATGGCAAGTCACTTGCAATTCCTCAAAGAGATCTCTTTGAAAATTTTGGTCCCCAGGGGCTAGGAGATGATGACAAGCTTGGAACCATTTTAAATGAGAGATGCTTCTGATCTCTGCTACTTAAGATGAGTTTCTACTTGAACAAGGGTCTTTGCTTCTCAGCAGTTTGCCAAGCTAACTTCATCTTAGCTTTTCCTGTGGCTTCTGAATTCTAAAGGGGGTAAAGATGGTTTCTCGAAGCCCTCACACTCTTTCTTACTGTGTTACTGAGAAGAGGGCATGAACTGTAAATACAGACTGATTTGCACTTCTTTTGTGTTTAAGCTTCTGCTGACTCTGCTTCCTTCCCATATACCTTATTCAAAATCAGTGTTGATGGTTTCCCTGTGGGTGAGACATGTTTAGTCTCCCATGTTAGTATAGGCACAAGTGAAACTGTCATTTTTTCCTTTTTGCTGAGAATGTTTTCAACCTAGTTGGTCTAAAATCTCTCAAGATACTGATTTGGAGAGCCACTGGTAAAATATTTTTCATATAGGAATGTTAAAGGGGCTATAATAACAATAAACACAACCAACATTTTCCGAGTGTTTGCCCAGAGGCATGGTACAGCTTCTAAGTGTTTTCCTTGAATAATCTCCTGCAAGAATCCTAGAGGGTGGATGCTTTTATTAGGTCCGTTTTGCAGATTCCAAGCAAATTGAGACACCGTGTGTTACACAGATAATAATAAATGCTGGAGCCAGTTTGACCCAGAGCCCACTGTGTTCCACTGTTTCCCAGTGCTCTTTGTCAGATGATGATAGGACAGAACATATTATTATCTTTGCGTTTTATGTTTTTGCACTATAAAGTCATCTAGAACGAAGTTATTTGTTTGTGAAAGGGCAATTAAGCTCAGCTCAAGGAATATTCAGCTTGTCCAGTCAAGTTAAAGGAACAGTTAATTTTCAGGAATTACTAACCTCAGCCTATTTCAACCTGTCTCACATTCAACAAAGATTTTTTTCCCAAGCCTCTGTGTACTAGGTTCTTCTATATATGGTGAAGGACACAACAATAGATTAGGCATGGTCATGTAAAGTTGTATAGGGAAGGGTCTGTCAGTATTATCTCATGTCTCCATATGTCTGTCTATCATGCCTCAGATAAACTCAATCTCACTTAGACTAGGAGCCTTAGCTGATTTGATAGGCTATGTCTGAAGTCAGCTTTCCTGACTAGTGCATTTCTTCTTTCTGGTAAATCATGATGCCTCCCCATTTTTTCTGTGCCCTTAGAGCCTGATAGAAAAACAAAAACTTTGATAAAATTAATACATGGTAGAGAATAATAGAGAACCACAAGTTGAGATTTGAAATCCAAGCAACAAAGAGCCAGAGTTAGCAACCTGGTATGGTGGGCAGCCTCTCAGATGGCCTCCAGAGATCTGGTATTAATGCTCTTGTGTGTGGGCTGGACCTAGAGACTCATAATGAATAAAATATAATGGAGATGATGGGATGCCACTTCTAAGACTAGGTTACAAAGAGAAGGTGGCCTTATCTTGCATACCCCCTCTCGCTCCTCTGAAGGAAGCCTAATGTCTTATTGTGAGCTTCTCTGTGGAGAGACATATCTGGCAAGAAACTGAGGCTCAGTTTCAGCCAACAGCCAGTGAGAAGCTGAAGCCTTCAGTCTGAGGAACTGAATCTTGCCAACAACCATGTGAGGTTGGGAATGGATCCCCCTGCAGAGCCTTCATAGCTGATCTTAGCCTCAGCCAACTCCGTGATTAAAGTCTTATGAGAAACCTTGAGGCAAAGGCATTCAGCTAAGCTGCACCTGGATTTCTGACCCACAGATAATATGTTTGTTGATAATATGATAATATATTTTAAGCCCAAAGCTTCAGTGTAATTTGCTGTGCAGAAATGGATAACTAATATTCTTGGTAATAAAGACCATAAGATTTTCTACTTTTGGAGGTCTCTACTGCCAGTTTAGCAGGTCATGTGGGTGGGAGGGATTAAGGCAAGAAACCACTGGGACTGGAGTGTCAGGGCTGATGGAGGGAAGGGGTCATCAAAAGCAGCCTCAGGGCTGTCCTATCCCCCTGGGGAGACCCCAGCTTAAAAAAAAAAATGACCCAAAACAAAATAAGAGTGGAGTAAGTCAAGCACTAACAGTGTTCCATGACTTAAAATATTGCATTCAGTAAGAGTAATTATTTCATATTGAATTATACCAATAAAGTGAACTGCTTCATCTGGCTACTCAAAATATATGGAACATTTATGAATTTGGCTAATGTTTTGTGAACTTTTGTTTTGCTGAGTTTCCTTTAACACGACATCTTAAAATATGGTCCTTTCCCTTTTATGCACTTTTTTGATCAGAAGCACAGAGACTGGATTCTTGTTATGCAGAAATTCAGACAGATGTGTTACACTCTAGTCTCTGAGTGACTTAACATCGTAGTGAGTTAGAATAAGCAACCTGACATTTCTGGTGTCAAAGAAGGCAGTGTTAATAGCAAAGACCGAGTGTCCAGGGAATGTGATACAGGCCTATGACGATCACCTCTTTGTGTACTTGTGTGCACAATGTTGTGTGTCCAGCATACGACCATTTCCCATGTTGGACCTAGAATTCTTTTTATGTCATGCAATATCTTAAAATCAAAAGGAAATAGATTTTTTTTCTGTTAGCATAGTTCACTTTGATACATTTTTAATATCCTTGGTTAAATTGACTATTTGAGTTCTAAAATAGGGCTATTTTGCTCTTCATTTTGTAACATCGTGGTTTAATGAGAAGTGCGTTGGATATCAGCAAGTGTGTACCAGTGGAGTTCATGAATTCAAGAACTATTTGTGGTCTTAACTTCTGATTATTGTAAGCAAATGTTTAATCCTGAACCTAATTTTAATCTAACACATTCCCAGCCCTGTCTCTAGTTTCTAACCAATGTGTTCACAGATAATACACATTTTCAAATTAATTACATAAATGATTCCAAGGCTTCTTGAATTATCCTTCTTACTATAAAATTCCTTATTTTCTCCACATGATAAACATATGCTACAGACAAAAGTTATTATCCCACTTGATAAAGTCTCAGAGAAGCTTAGTGTCTTGATCAACAACACACAGCCTGTTGGTAGGAAAGCCTGAAAGAGTACCATTGTTCTACTTAATTATCACATCCTTAACATTTTATAAAAGTTTTAGCTTAAAAATAAAAATGCTATCCATTTTGGTCTGGAGTGATTATTAACACATGGTCATTTATAGGTTGTTTAAAGAGAGTGGTAAAAACCTCCATATGTTCTAATCCTGGAAAGTCCGTGTACTTTACAAATAAATTAATAATCTTTTAATATGGAAAAAAGGCTAGAATTTCCTCTCAACACCTTCTTAGTCCTTGAACTCTTCTACATAAAAGCAGAACAGGTGCTTCTTGGCTAAATTCAAAGTAATGAATTTATATAGATTTTATGGGAAAGCAATTAAAGCTGCTTGGTAGACCTGCAGGGGAATTTCTGGGTAGGCAGTGTGTGGGTCCCAGACAATGATGGCTGCTCCCAAAAGTCTTAGAGCAAAGAGGAGGAAATGAGTGTGAAATATTTGGCCTCTTCTAATCTGAAGTATAATCACATTAGCACCTAGTTGAATGTTAGAGAATAAAGTAATCTGAAAGATTTATCACTGAATATCCTTCCAAATTTGGGGTTTATTTGTGTTCTGAAATCTAAGTCTTATGCCTAACATTTTAAATGCCAAGTAAAAAAGACAGAGGATGATGAACGATACCCAGATACAGATACAGAACCACCTGAAGGAAACCTTCTACGTTGAAGCCATGGAGTTCCCGTCTGCCGACTTCTCGGGTCTCATCTCCTACTCTGTCTCCCTGGTGGAAGAATCACAAGACCCGTCAATTCCAGAGACCCTGGTGTACAAAGACATGGTAGTGTTCCGGGTGGCCCCTTGCATCTTTACTCCCAGCACCCAGATGCCTCTAGAGGTCTACCTGTGCAGAGAGCTGCAGGTCCAGGGTTTTGTGAACACAGTGATGGAGCTGAGCGAGAAGAGTAACAGCCAGGTGGTATCTGTCTACAAGGACTCCCAACTACCTGGGCAGGTGGCTCCAGGATGCGATGGCCTTCTGTTATACTCAGGCTCCCCACAAGACGCTTTCCTTGGTCCTCGACACCCCTTGGGTCCTCACGCTGGACGACTTACTCGTGAAATACTCCCTGAGCCCAGGGGTTGGCTACATGATCCAAGGCACCAAGGACCACAGGGTAGCCAGCATGGACTCTATTGGGAACCTGATGGTGTCCCCACCTGTCAAGGTGGAAGGGAAAGAGTACCCTCTAGGCAGGAATCTCATTGGCAGCTGCTTTTACCCCAGCAAGGAGGGCCGAAACATGGGCAAGGCCCTCCGGGACTTCCTCTACGCCCAGCGAGTCCAGGCCCCGGTGGAGCTCTTCTTGGACTGGCTGATGGTCGGCCACATGGATGAGTTCATGTGCTTCATCCCCACGCAGGACAAGAGTGAGGGTAACAAGGGCTTCTGGCTGCTCCTGGCCAGCCCCAGCTCCTGCTACAGACTGTTCGAGGAGAAACAGAAGGAGGGCTATGGACACCTGACTCTGTTTGCAGAGGTCCAGGAGGACCAGCTCCTTTCCAACGGGAGGGAGGCCAACATCATCAATCAACTTCTGGCTGATGAAAACATGAGGAAGCAGAACAACTATGTAGAGAAGTGCATTAACCTGAACCGTGACATCCTGAAGAAGGAGCTGGGCCTGGTGGAGAGGGACATCATTGACATCCTGCAGCTCTTCTGCTTGGAGCAGCTGACTAACATCCCCTCCAATGAGCAGATGGCGAAATTGTTTGCGAGGCCCTACTTCCCTAACCTGCTGCAGATGATCGCGATGGACAAAAATCTGGGCATCCCCAAGCCTTTTGGGCCCCAGATCAAGGGCATCTGCTGCCTGGAAGAAAAGATCTGCCAGTTGCTAGAGCCCCTGGGCTTCAAGTGCACCTTCATCGATGACTTCGACTGCTACCTGACTGAAATCAGGGACTTCTGTGCCTGTGTCAACATCTGCCGGGTACCCTTTGCCTTCAAATGGTGGAGGATGGTGCCCGAGCCCCAGGCCTAGCCCCACCCCAGCGTGAACAGCCCCTTAATCACCATTCCACAGCATCCTGATGCCCTGCCTGTCTGGAGAGCAAATACACCCCTCCTCCCCCCGGCCACCCTCATCCCTCAGTATCTGGAGGGGGTGGCCGACTCTGCCAGCTCGAACTCCCTCGGAAAATGGTCTTTGGCTGAGAAGTGGTTACTAAGTATCCATTAAAGTTCTAGGTGTTCTGGAAAAAAAAAAGTTACAGTGGTAACTGTAAATCATTTAGTTGTGATAGTTTATTGTTCGGGTGAGAGTACACCCCTTAATAGATGCAGGTGGAATTTTTCCTTTTGGTTTATGAGGGCACAAAACACAAGTAGGAAAAAAAAAAGAAACTCATTTAACTTTGAATTAGATAATAAAGCATATTAGAGCCAGAAGAGTTGAACTTTTATGAAAAGAGGGAAATATCATTCATTAACCAACCTCATATGCTAGATCCTTTTACTTGTTCCTGCCTTTGGTCCCCACGAAACCCAAAATCTTGCTAATATTTTCTTTGATTTCCTTTTCCCCTCACCCCAGTCCCCCATAAGGAAACTAGAACTTGTCAAGTTAAGTAACTTACTTGAAGTAATGCAGCAGCAAAGAAAAATTTAAACCCAGTTAAGTTTGATTCCATGTTCTGTGTTCCTTCTACATCAATAAAGCATCCCATAAAAACAGTATTCCGTTTTGGGGGAAAATAGAAGCTATCACCTTGAAATAATCTCAAAAAAAAGATCTTTTCCTCTCAAAGAAGGCTGAAATTTTGCACATGGAATCAGGGAATTTGTGAGGTGCTTTTTCCTTGAAACTTTTGCCATCTTAAAAAATGTATGTGTATTTCTATTTCTATTTATATAAAATCCTTAGCATGGCCATAGCTAGAAATCTGATTGGAGTGGTCTCTGCACATCCAGTTGTCTGCAGCCTTTCAAGGCTGAGTAATTGAGAACATCCACATCAAATAGCTCCAATGTCAAGTCATTGTTTCTCAAATAACAGTTAACCAGTGTAGTAAGCTAGTATAGTCCCTGGATGATAAGAACACTTTACATATTATTGAGTTCATGAGTGAATGCATTGTTTTATTTCCTTGATTTTAGAATTTATCAGTTGAAAATATACAGATTTTAAGGGAGGGAGCACTAGAAGACACCACTAAATATTTAGAAAGATAGGAATTTTAGTCTGAGTCTTGATTTCTGAAATGTTAAAATGTGCTTTTTAAATTGAGTAAATATAGCACCTCAGTAACCTTAACCTTTCCCAAATTGCTTCTTTTGCCTTTATTTCCCATCTAGAACTCCTCTCATTCCATCCATTCATCTGCCATTATCTAATCTTCTCTAATTTTCAGCTACTCAAGCATGACTATATTGTTCTCTCAAAACTGTGATTCCCATCAAATTGTGTTAGCATCTCTCAAGTGTAAAGCCAACTAAGAAAATTGTGTGGAAAAATAGTAACAGTATTTCTTTCCATGGAGATTTCCTTGTGGATGACTAAATAGGGGGGTTTCATGGCTTAGGAACTTTTGAGGACTTGCTTAGGACCATATACCAATGATTAGGACCACATGGCATTTATTAAGATATTCTTCAGTACCTGACATTGTGTGAGATAAACCGACGAGAAACCACACTTATACACACGAAGTTTCATGTGGGGAACACTTGTAGGAATAACATGTTTTAAAACTATGGATAGCATCAGAGGACAATTGTATCTTTTATGAAGAGTTTTGACTTAAGTACGAATGATTTTATTGTGTCTTTACCTTGTTCCGAGAATGAAATCTTACACTAAGTTGACTACTGGCATTTCTTTCATTGTTTTCCCATCAATCTTTTGCTGTGTCACCAGAGGAATGTAGAAATACTGGATTATTATCTAATGAATTTCAAAGTCAGAGATCTTTGGGGTCACTGTAAATTTTCTTTAAGGGCTAGACAATGTACAAATCCAAGGGGATAACTTTCCACATGAATTTGCTATCTTTATTTGGGTTTTATGCATTTTGTTACATTATAGGCATATTACCTCCAGTAAAAATCATTTGTTAACCCCTTTTAATTAATTTCTGAAATATAGTCAAAGTTGGTTGGGCTGGTTTTACCACTTTGAGTTGCTAAACAGATTGTGATATGTTTGCCTTATGTGGTCTAAGGAGTGAAAAGATTTGTCTGAAAATCTTAATCAAATTCTTAGATTGATATTTGAGACATAATTTGTTGGAAATGAAGATAGTGGAATATTATTAGGGTGGAAGTATCATATTCTACTTACTATGATCTTTGTTGGTGAATCTGGGCTCTGTTCCCAGCTCCAGATAGAAATGCTAAATTATCTTGGTTAGATTTCTCATCCATCATATGCTTCAATTTCTCACTTGTCTTTTAATTCATTCTTGGTATTTTGCCAGAGTCAACTAGAAAATGTCTCGTGTACTTTAGGCTTTGAGAGAAAAGACAGTGTGAAATGCCTCAATTATCAAAATAAATCTAACCAATTTGTGATTATCTACTTTGTGATTTTTCCCCCAGAAATCTTTAATCCCATACATAGGAGCTTCATTGGCTACTTGGCACAAATCTGATCAGGGCAAATTCACATCATTTCCAGCTAATATATATGTAGGTAATGCAGAACGTTTTTGATTAATCTGTGCCCAAACTGAGTTATAAAACATACTGACTCCAAAATCCGACATGCTTCTCAGGCCAAAAAAAATGCATTTAAGGGTGCCTGGGTGGCTCAGTTGGTTGAACGACTGCCTTCGGCTCAGGTCATGATCCTGGAGTCCCAGGATGGAGCCCCGCATCGGGCTCCCTGCTCAGCAGGGAGTCTGCTTCTCCCTCTGACCCTCCCCCCTCTCATGTGCTCTCTCTCTCATTCTCTCTCTCAAATAAATAAATAAATAAAATCTTTAAAAAAAAAAAAGAAATGCATTTAAGAACGTATTCCCAGTTTTTGATTATCCATTCCACTTCTTCCTTGTATAAGCATGGGTAGTTTGTACGTTAAGAATGGATTTTGGGGGCTCCTGGGTGGCTCAGGCAGTTGAGCATCTGAGTCATGATCTTGGCTCAGGTCTTAATCTCACCGTTGTGAATTTGAGCCCCATGTTGAGTTCCGTGCTGAGCATGAAGCCTACTTAAAAAAAGAATGGATTTTTAAGGGTGCATCTGTGTTAATCTCAATACCATAATCAATGAATTGTCCTTTGATTATAACAATGTAAAAAATTATAACAGAAAATTCATCTTTTATTTTTATATTAAGTTCTTCAGTCCCTCACAAAATGGGATGTGACAGTAACAGGAGTGATTTGCCCGTTTTTCTAGTATTCAGCAAATTTTTCAAATTCATGCAGTTGGACCTTGAAAGATAGACTCACAGTTTATTTTTGACCTTTGACTGGGTCATATTCATGGGATTTTGTGTTTGAGGGACAAGTGAAAGGTTTACACTTTACCCCCGTTGAAATTCCTTGGACACAGTCTTGGTAGTGGAGTAAGTGGGTGCGTTGAAATTAGAACACTATTCTGGAGAAGGTCACTGTTGTTCAAGATGGTCAGATATCTTTTCACAACTGGCTTAAATGGGAATTTATATTCTTTCTTTCGTATGTTTTTTTTCACAGCTGTTGTGAACTTGGACAATTCTGTGGTTGATCTGGAGACCCTTCAAGCTCTCTATGAGAATGTGAGTAATAGAAGGAATTTTATGTGTGAGTATATAATACACAATACTTGCCAATATGTACATCTAGACTCATTGTCTTAATGTCCTTTAAGAAAAATTGATCTGGGTGCACTGAAGTTACTTAAGTATAAGTTTGTTAAAATACTTTCTAGGAAACCTACTGGACAAATGTGTGGTCTCATATTTTTTTTTTTTTTTTGGTCTCATATTTTCAAAGATTGTGGTTCAAAGCATGCTGTATGTGAGGTCATTCACAATCCCTCTTTTGAAATATAATAGTCAATACTTATGTAGAGGTTAATTTGAGCTGAGCATTGTTATGTGCACTAACTCAGTTAATTTCCACATGAAAACTCTAGATAGGTTCAATTATTATCCCCATTTTACATATGAGGAAGTTTAGGCATAGCAAGGCCAGAAGACTTGTTCAAAAATCACAGTTCACAGTCATATTAGTTCAAGTAGTAACAGGCTAGATTTTTTTAATAGCCACCTACAGTAGAGGAAATTAAAGAATCCATTATGAATAATAGGTAAGTGTGTATAACATACAAATAGAATTCATGATAATTCCCGGTTCACTTCCATTAAAATACAAGTCGAAAGAGGGAGAAATATTTGTTTTATGCATGGCAATATCCCCAGCATCTAAGGTTAAGGATTATTGGACGCATAGGAAGTATTTAGTAAATGTTAAATAAATGTTTATATGAATTAATGAATGGAATCTCCAGACAGGGTTTATTTCAAAACCTCTTTTGGGCTATCATGTGGTTTTCAGATACAGTTTGCCTGTTCAAACTGATTGATACCCACTGGAAATAATGATCTGTATTGAATATCTATTTGTGCTGTTTTCATTTTTTTAGTAGCAAGAGGATTTCTTGTGCAAAATAATTAATGATTATTTCCAGTGGGGTCTGGTAGCCCAGTCATAATTTACTGTAACCTGCTATATGTAAAGAGTATGGTTGACACTTTGAGAAGGGTAAATGAGGGTTTAAAATGTTCATATTTTAAGAATTGTGGGTCATGAAGTAGAAAATACTGGGGACTGACCTATTTTTATACAAGGTTTTCAGTTTTCTAGGGATAAATGCTGAGGCAAAAATTTGTGCTTTTTTTGAGTAATAGGCAACAGCAGTAGATAAAGACTTCCTCATTTAGCGAATGAATATGCCAAATAGCAAAGCAAGGAACTCCCTCTTAATTAAGAAACAATTGAAATAATTCCCTATTCATGCAAGATTTTCATTCATTCATTCAAATGCCTTCTTTTCAGTTGTTTAGGGTCCTAAAATTTCCTGAATTTTTAGAAATAGTAATAGTTTAATGTCTATTATGCACCAAGCATTATTCCAAGTCTGGGTATTTGTATTGATTCATTTAATCCTCTAAGTGCCTTATAGCCTATGATTTATGAAGAAGAAATACTATTGCTATCTAATGCTTTTTAGAAAAATGAGACAGAGAGGTTCTTACAACTCAGAGTTGGCTTGGTCACCTGGTCACCTCCCTTCAGGACTGTGCTCTAAGCAAAAAATTTCCTGACTCATGGTGATAACTGAACTGAGCCTTCAAAAGGACCTGAGATAGCACTGTTTGGTGGAAAAGAACATGGGATTAAAAAGTCATAAGAACTCTGTTCAGGTTCCAGCACCACAATTAAACAGATATATGTCTTCATTCTTTAGTTTCTATATTCTCATTTATAAATGGGGTTTCTAATAATTCATAATAACATCAACTTTTTGTCACCATCAAATGGATGTAGAGTTTTCTAGACTATTCAATACTATTATGCTTTGATTTTTTTGTAAATAAAAATAAGTGTGGGCATAGAACTATGATTGTCAAATTACAGATGATTACATCTAAGATTGGTTTAAGATTAAGGGTAATGAAGGTTGTGTGCCACGTAAATTAAAGTAAAACTGGACCTTTTCCTCAAGAGTCTCAAGGATTTGCCAAGTGAAGCAGAATAAATACCTTTATGTTTACAAGCAACATGAATTAATAGAGAATACTTTTTAAAAGCTGTAAAACTCAGAATGATACTACTTTACTCACAATCATCATTTTAAAATTTGTTTTAGCTTTTTTTTTTTTAAAGATTTTATTTATTTATTTGAGAGAGAGAGAATGAGAGAGCGCACATGAGAGGGGGGAGGGTCAGAGGGAGAAGCAGACTCCCTGCCGAGCAGGGAGCCCGATGTGGGACTCGATCCAGGGACTCCAGGATCATGACCTGAGCCGAAGGCAGTTGCTTAACCAACTGAGCCACCCAGGCGCCCTGTTTTAGCTTTTGAAACAATCTCAAAGATACTAATAAAGTTGCAGGTGTGGTACAAAGAACTTTTTTTTTTTCTCGTTATTTGCAAATAAATTGCCAACCTTAGGCCCGATTATCCCTGCATACTTACTTTTAACCATAATGCAACCATCAACATTAGGAAATTGGCATTGATATATTACTATCATCTAATCCACAGATCCCAGTCAAGTTTTGCCAGTTGTTCCAATAATGTCCTTTATATTTAGGACATCTTTGAAATCTTGTCATGCTTTCTGTCATCTTTTCCTTGGGCACATGTCCATTTTGTGTTTTATATTATCATTATGTGGGCATATGTCTTATCTTTCAACTGAACTATAAATTCCTTATTAGTAGGATTTTTATATTCCATGTTTAGCGTAATGGTTTGTATATAACATTCATAATAATTACTAATTAAAGAGTGACCTGTTTTTGTTCTTGGTATGGTTTTATAATTGAGGGAGGTGAAAATTGTTTATATCACCATATTTCAAATATTGTACTTTTTTGAAAGATCAGTGTAAATATGATGATTTCAGAAATATTTCTTCAAAGATTCAGAATTACTATGTAAATAGTTAACCATTACTATTCCAGAAATATTTCATTAGATTATGTGTGATTTTTCAAAAGTAGTTTGAATTAAAATAGGAACATTCTGTTGTAGGGCAAACTGAGCATGTTTGTCTCCTTCATGTTGATGTAATTTGGAGATTATTGCCTCAAGAGCCCCTGGTGGCTAGAGAAATCTTGCCTTTTCTTAGATTACCTTGAATCTTTTGAGTGTCCATCCAGTGGACTGACAAGAAGCTTGGGCTTTCTTTTCTTAGTTGATACTGAATAATACGTACTTCGGTGAACCCAAGATGAACCCAACACCATAGAACCAGTTATAGTTTATTTTTTAGTGCACAGTGCAGTTAATTTTTTTCTATGTTTTTTAGTTGCTAATAGCCTGTATGTTTACATATGACTGATAAAAATAAAGCAGGATGCTGTAGGAATGTACATCTCTGGTGTACCTTGGTGGGGGTCCTTCCTACTTCCTACAGACTCTCCTCAAATTTTACAACAGTATCATGGCTAGATTAAAATATGCCATAGTTTCATTCAGCATGAGATAATATAACCATGTTTTTAATACTCTGTCCCTCCTGTCCTACTCCAAATCACACAAGGGCATACCCAGAAGAAGTTGTAGTTCTAACTACATGAAACCAATGAGTTTACTATTCCATAGGGGACTGAGATTCTACCTATTTTCGTCTACAGTATATTCGTTAGGGGCAGCCCAGCAACCCATGTAACTCTAATAGAAGTTTTATATCTTCTAGATGCTATTTAATGGTGTTGAATGAATGAATGAAGGAATGAATGAATGAACTCTTTGAAACAGAAGCTCAGCACAGTAAAATATTCAGTTTATCATGCCAGCTCCCTTCCTTGCACACTCCCGGCTTCTAATTCACCTATACATGGAGATTAAGCCATCTGATTAATATGTACCAATTTGTCTTCGTTTCTCACTACCACCTTCTCTTTATCTAAACAAAGTTTAGGAATACCTTTGTGTCCTTATGTTCCAACCAGTGAGCTGTTCTCATTCTGTACTTGTTTCCTCCCCCAGCTCTCCTTTGTCAAAGCATGCTCAGATGTCCCTCAGATTTAAAAGAAAGATAAATAATTCACTCTCTTTATTTGTTCATTAAATATTCATTATTTATTTCATTAAAAATATTTACATATTTTTATGTAAATGTCAAGCACTGGTGCCATGACCAGTCAGTAGTAATGGCTTCCGTGCTTTGATTCCTCCAGTTTTCACGATGATGCCTTCCTCTGGTTCATGTACACACACACACAGAAAGAGAGAGAAGGAAAGAGAGCAGTGCACCCACAGATGGGCTCTGAAAACATGTAATCAGCAGGGAAATCATCTCTGAGGAAGGGACATTTGGAGTGAAAGTAGGAGTCACCAAAAAAGGAAATGAAAGTGTTCTAAGCAGAGAGAACAGTGTGTGCCAAGATTTGGGAGCATGAAAGAGGAGTAAGCCCAGTGGGGAGAAGAAAGTATGTGTGAGTAAATAGCTCAGGAAGGAATGGGCAGGAGGAGAGATGTGGAAGCAGGCAGTGGCTAGGTTTAGCTAGGGATTTTAGGACATTTGAAGAGAATTGTGGAATTTAAAATTTTTCCCTTTAATTCTGTCAGTTTGCATCCTATATTTGGAGGCTTTCTTATTAGACCCATACACACTTAGATGTATCTTTCTGTTGAAGGTTGTATTTATCATTATGAAATTCTTTCCTCTGGTAATACTTGGTCTTGAAGTTTATTTTAACTGATACTTAAATAGCCATTCTACCATTTTGATACTTACTGTTTGCATGGGTTTTCTTGTTTTATCCATGTACTTCCAACTTACCTTTGTCTTTATGTTAGAATCACTTATGTTAGAATGTCTTGTAGGTAGTATATATTTTGGTCTTGCTTTTTTATCCACTCTGATAGTCTTTTCCTTCTTGGAACATTTAAATTGTTAACATTTAACATAATTATTGTTATGGTTGGATTTAGGTCTGTAATTTTTTGTTTGTCCCTTGGCTGTTGTCCTCTGTCCTATATGTATGTATGCATATATATATATTTAACTTGCTGCTCTAAGAATTACTATATACATCCCTA